CCCAGCCCCCGTCCCGCGGCCCCCAGCCGCCCCCAACCCCGCCCCACGGGCCCGGCGCCATGAGTGAGCTGGAGCAACTGAGACAGGAGGCCGAGCAGCTCCGGAACCAGATCCGGGTGAGGCCCTGGCCGCCGAGCTGGGGAGGCTGAGCGGGCAGGGCCGGGTGGCTTGTGTGGACTGGGCCAAGGGAGGGGTTTGGGGGACGGGTACGGTAATCTGTTAGTCTCATCCTCTCCACTCCCCTTCTGTTGTCTTCCGTCTCCTTCCCTGCCCATCTCTTCTCCTGCCTCTGTCTTACTGGCTCTGCCATCTCTTATAGGATGCCCGAAAAGCATGTGGGGATTCAACACTGACCCAGGTGAGATGAATCCAGGGCTAGACTTGGGGTTTAGGGAAGGAGCAAGGGTTTTGAGCCATCCTGCGCAGAGGGCCCTGCTGCCTGAACCTCCCTGAGCTCTTTCTGCTGCCACTCACAGATCACAGCTGGGCTGGACCCAGTGGGGAGGATCCAGATGAGAACACGGAGGACTCTCCGTGGGCACCTGGCAAAAATCTATGCCATGCACTGGGGGACAGACTCAAGGTGCGTGTGGCTGGGGCTGTGTGCTGAGCCGTCGTCTTTGCCCTGGGTTTAATTTGTAGCAGACTGGGTGGGCAGGGGCAGCCTTGCAGATCTGGTAACATGAACAGGATGCCCATGTTGCTCAGTCCGTTTGGGAAGACCAGGACTCCCAGACATCCCCAGGGGACCAGAAACAGGACCACACCGACAGGAATTTCTGGGCTGCCACTGGGAGTTGTCTCTGAAGGGCCTCCCACCAGATGGGAGAGGGAGAAGGGTGTCCTGCCTCCAGACTGGTCTTCCCACCCTGACCCCTGTGCCTCTCTTGCCACTCTCCCACAGGCTGCTGGTCAGCGCCTCCCAGGATGGGAAGCTCATCATCTGGGACAGCTACACCACCAACAAGGTAGAGGTGGTGCTTGAGGCCGGACGGGGCTGGGCTGCAGGCCCTGGCTGGCTCTGACCCTGCACACTACTTCTTGTCCATAGGTCCATGCCATCCCGCTGCGCTCCTCCTGGGTCATGACCTGTGCCTACGCGCCCTCAGGGAACTTTGTGGCCTGTGGAGGGTTGGACAACATCTGCTCCATCTATAGCCTCAAGACCCGTGAGGGCAATGTCAGGGTCAGCCGGGAGCTGCCTGGCCACACTGGTGAGAGGGGCCTGGCAGGACATGGGTGCTGTTGTGGGGGGAGGGGCTGCGCTGCCCTCCCTCAAAGGCCCGGCTGACCAGCCCCTTTCCCCAGGGTACCTGTCGTGCTGCCGCTTCCTGGATGACAACCAAATCATTACCAGCTCTGGCGACACCACCTGGTGAGGCCCTGTCAGGGCTAGGCCCCTGGGGCTCACCCACACTTCCTGCCTGGGAGGCCACTGCATGAGAGCTCAGAGTGAAGTTCATATGCTGCTCAAGCAAGGGTAGACCCCTCGTTCTGAACACCTCAGCCTCCTGTCTGGTATGAGGAGGGAGAAGGGGAGACCTGTCCTCACCTGGGACAGAAGCAGGCTTCTGTGACCCAGTGGCTCCTGGCACCCCTTCCATGGAGGCTCTGTCAGGCCTGGGCTGCTGTGGTGGAGGGGTTGGGAAGAGGGAATCTGTCCTGCACGCCCCTCTGATCACTTCCCTCTTGTCGCCTCTCCAGTGCCCTGTGGGACATTGAGACAGGCCAGCAGACAGTGGGTTTTGCTGGACACAGTGGGGATGTGATGTCCCTGTCACTGGCCCCCGATGGCCGCACCTTTGTGTCGGGTGCCTGTGATGCCTCTATCAAGCTGTGGGACGTGCGAGACTCGATGTGCCGACAGACCTTCATTGGCCACGAATCTGACATCAATGCTGTGGCTGTAAGTTGTGGGGTGCGCTAGGCTGATTCATCTCTGCCAGGCTCCTGGCCCTGGCCTGCACCCTCATCCCACCCTGGTCTTGCATCCTGCAGTTCTTCCCCAACGGCTATGCCTTCACCACGGGCTCTGACGATGCCACGTGCCGCCTTTTCGACCTGCGGGCTGACCAGGAGCTCCTCATGTATTCCCACGACAACATCATCTGCGGCATCACCTCTGTTGCCTTCTCGCGCAGCGGCAGGCTGCTGCTCGCTGGCTACGACGACTTCAACTGCAACATCTGGGATGCCATGAAGGGCGACCGTGCAGGTGAGCCAGGAGCTGAGCAGGGGGCAGGCGGGGACAGGGAGCCCCGGCCGGGTGAGTTCTGATGTCCTCCTCCGTCACAGGTGTCCTCGCCGGCCACGACAACCGCGTGAGCTGCCTCGGGGTCACTGATGATGGCATGGCTGTGGCCACAGGCTCCTGGGACTCCTTCCTCAAGATCTGGAACTAACAGCCCCAATCCCAGCTGCACCCAGGCTAGGAGGGGCCCTGCCCGTGCCCACACTACAGGCCGGGAGCTCTGGGGCTGGGTGTATACCAAGCCTCCCTCCCCAGGCCACGGGGCCTTGGGTCCCTGCTCCCCTACCCAGGTTTGGTTCCTCCCGAGGCCCCCACTGTGGAGATTAAGATGGGGATAGAATGGGGGAAGAGGAGGGGCAGAAAGCCCTCATCCTTTTGCTGCCCTGGGGTTAGGGCCTCATCCCTCTGGAGGGCCAGAGGCAGGAGGTGGAAGCTCCAGGGGCTGGCTTTTTTAAAACTGGTTTTATTTTAATTTTTATTATATTTTCAGTTTTTCCATAAAGGAACCAATTCCAACTCTGTACCTGGTCTGTACCCTTGCTTGTGTCTTCCTTACTCTAGTTCTCTGTCCATGAAGACAGAGTGCCCGGCAGGGGCAGTGCTCACTCTTCCCCAGACTAAAGCCAAGTCACAGGCAGGAGGACCTCCTCCCCCAGCGGGTCACTGTGTCCCCACACCCCCAACCCTCCCAGTTCTAGCCTGGCCCTGTTGGGCTGACCGACCAGAACCACCTCTGCCCAAGGCTCAGTTCCCAGCTCTGAGCTTTGCCTCTCATCCCCACCATCCCCTTCCCCCAAGAAAAGACTCAGAGACAGAGAGGAGAACACACACCAAGTTTTATTGGGAGGAGGGGAGTATTTACAGGGGCGGGTAGAAGAGAGGGGAGTCACACAGGGTATGGGAGATTATGGGTACAAGGCAGACGACGGGATACAGAATGACCCCTGCACCCACCCTAACCCCAGGAAGGGCAGGAGAGCTGCTGGGGCCCAGGAAGATGGGCTAGGGAAGGACAGCAAGGGGGCTGAGTCCCTGGGCTGGGGGGCTCAGGGACTTGTAAACATTGACCACTCTCAGAAGGGGATGGGGGTGGGAGAGGGCTCCCCCTACACTTCCTTACAGGGTTAAGGCCTCTCCAGGCTCAAGGGCCCCCAAGTTCAAAGTCTCTTTAGCTGGGGGGGGAGGGGAAGGAAGAGACAGGGAAGTGTCATCCCCCCTCCCCTGCATTGGCTGCGGCAGGGGTGGGGGCAGTTACATTCAGTCACAACAGTACCCCCCCACCTCTAATGCCGCCAAATACTGGCTTGAGGAAAGGGGGAGCTGGGGGGCCAGCAGCAGCAAGACATTTCCCCCTGGCCCATCACCCCCTTATTGCTTTAGAGAGAATATTGTCTTTTCACGGACGCTAACACTGTTGAAGCCAGGGAGAAGCAGGTGGAGGGGGCCCCTCCACCCCCGAGGCCAGCTTTACCCCCCAACACTGACCCAGTTGCCACTTTGGTGCAAAAAAAAAATCATCTCTCTGGGGCTAGATGGGGAAAGAAAACTGGGGCCACTCCCCATTTCCCCACGGCAGGAAGGATAAATACATTCATGGAGGGGAGGCAGTGGCAGAAATCTTGCCCTAATACCGCGCTCTGAGCAATGAGGTTGATGGGAGAAGTTAGATGAGAAACCAAAAAGATACAACAAAATTTAAAAAAAAGGAAAAAAAACAAAAAAACAACTACGAATGGAGACAAACCCAGGTAGGTGATCGGAATAAGAAGGTGGTAAAGGGTAGCCCACCCCCTGACCCGGGAGAGACAGACACTCCCATTCTTGACCCCCCCCACCTTACCCAACATTAAAAACATCAGGGGAGCAGGGAGGGGAGAGGCCACCTACTCCTCTCCCATTTGGTCAATGGAGGGGCGGGGCAGAGCTGGGTGGTCCACATCCCACACAGCCAGCTGCAGGTGAGGGGCTCCCTTCTAACAGCAGGCCCGTACTGCAACCTGAAGCCCCAAGCCGCCCACTTCCGCAGCCTCCTGGGCCCCTCCTCTGCCCCCCTTCACAGGAAAAACAACAGTCATTAAGTGGTGCCTCTCTCTCCAGCTCCTGGAGGAACTGCTCTGCCCCCACCTCCTCAAGGTTGAGGCAGGGGGCGCAGCAGGGGCTCACCGCCCAGAGAATACATTCATGTGGCAAGGCAGGGAGCTGGGGCTTTCAGCTTCACACCCAGGCGGTCCCCCGAATGGCAGCAGTGGGGGAAGACCCTCACCAGGGCCAGAGTGGAAGTTCTGCCGGCCTGACAGCCAGATGAGGTTGGCACCGCTGGCCCTCTCCCATCCACCCTGTCAGCCGGCGCAGGATGGCAGCCGGGGGCGCTGAGGCGGCCCGGCCCATTTGTGCAACTTTCCCCGAAGCAGCAAAGCCAAGGGGCAACTTTGGCCCCCACCCCAGACACCTCTGCCACAGTCACAGCAACAAGGGAGCCGTTCACAGCGGGTCCGGCCGGCGGGGCTGAGGGGGCCTCGCTGTGCAAACTGCTGGCACCCCAGCTTCCAGTTACCCCAGTGGCCCACCTCGTGGGGCGGGGAGGGTAAGTGCAGCCTCGGGGGCCAGGCAGGACAGGTCTGTGGGGCCCGTGTCCCCACTGCCCCAAAATAACAGTGTGTTTTTTCTTTCAGTCTCCTAATCAATT